GCCTGGATGTGCCACTGGTTAGGGTTAGGGTCAGGATTAGAGTCAGGGTTAGGGTCAGGATTAGGGTCAGGATTAGGGTTAGGGTCAGGATTAGGGTTAGGATTAGGGTCAGGTTTTGGGTTAGGGTTAGGGTTAGGGCTAGGTTCTCACCCCTCCCCCGTCAGGGCGCAGCAGGCCTGGATGTGCCACTGGTGGTCTTTGACCGCGGTCAGCTGGAGGCTCTGGGAGATCTCGGCCACAGACATGCAGCCCTTCACGTCCTGTTTGTTAGCGAAGATCAGCAGCCCGGCCTTCCTCAGGTCCTGGAGGGAAGAAGGAAAAAACACAGGGAGGGAAATGGAGTTCGTTTTTTTTTTAGCTACTGAACACACAAGGGTATAAAAAATAGACTTATGAACTCTTTTGTCCCCCACGCCATCAAACTGTACAACGCCTCACTGGGGTCGAGGAGGTGACACAGGACAGGGGGAAGAGAGATCAGATCACATACACAAACACTGTACTTAATCTGTATTTTTTGTATTTTTATTTATTTATTTGTATATTTTTGCTTAAACTGATTCTAACTTGACACTGTTTGCCCTTTAAGCTGCTGGTAACCTTAATTTCCTGAGGGAGTCTTCCCAAGGGATCAATAAAGTACTGTCTAAGTCTAAGTCTAAGTCTAAGTCTAAAAAAACACTGACACTACTCACTAAAAATGTCGTTTTTTTTTTGTTTAGCTACTGAATACACAAGGGTAGAAAACACTGAGATCCGACTAATCACTAAAAGGGTGAAACTGAAATGCATTATGATTAGGCTTGTCCCGATTCGAGATTTAGTTTCGGGATGTCTGAGCTTTTTTCACTTCCGATCCCGATCCCGATCCCGGCCTATCAGAGCATGTGTTAAAGTTTAAAGTTATTTATCTACTTACTTAGATGTCAGACTCATGTTGAACAGGGATTTACTCTGATAACTACTTAATGGTTAGGACACAGACCTCTGGGTTACAGATGCTAATGCTAATGCTAACGCTCGAGTGGGATTGGACTTAATTTCGATTTCGATCGGATCAGCCGCCGATATTTGCAAAAAAATGTAGGAGAAAATCCCGATCCAGACTCCAGATCCAGTTTTTTTTTTAAAGTCCGATCCCACACATAACACATGCTCTGATAGGCCGGGATCGGATCGGAAGTGAAAAAAGCTGGATTGGGACATCCCTAACTATGACCTTTACAGGTTACCTTAAACTGCCCTTCTCTAAACTGTTTTTCAGTACTTTTTGTACAACTTGTTGTTCTCCAACGAGGAGCCAGATGTCCATAACTACTTGTGAGTCGTGTATATTTGGCCCAAATGACTCAGAATAACAGGATCGCTTCTACACCACAGAATGACATGTTTGTCATTTTTGCTAAATCTGTGTGCAAATTTCTAACCACAAATCCCCCAAAAATCACTTTATTTAGTCTAATAAACAAAAGCAAAAAGGCATTTTTATTCATCTGATCCTCACCAGCTGAAGGGATATTTGGGAATGTGTCTTTCTACATTTAATTTATAATCAGATTGAATTTATAAGTAAGTTAATGAGTCGTGATGGAGTTCCATACAACGGTCTCACAAAATGAGCGGGTTAGCCCTTTTCTTTTAGGTGGTTCTCCACTAAAAAACGGGAATTTTACACAAACACAAACACATCCCAGGTTTGATGTAAGAAAGCTGTACTCACTTCATGAGCCAGCATTCTGTAGAGTTCTTCTTTGGTTACAGAGATTCGCTCCCTGTCTGTGCTGTCCACCACCACGATCACAAACTAAACACAGAAAGCAACACACAGGTGAAACACAACCACCAGCAGTTACCTTTCTGAGCAGGTCAGAAGTAATCTTGGAAAAATCAGATATATTATACGGTGGAAACTCATTTAAAATATCAATACATGAGCAGAATGTGACTCTTGATCCTGAGAGCGATGCTGTAGCTTCAGTTCTTTGAGTTTAGTTAATTAATGGAGATTAAACTAATATCAACCCCTAGTTCCCTTGGGACTCTCTCCTTCCCTTAAGCCTCTCTAGTTCCCTTAAGCCTCACTAGTTCCCTTAAGCCTCTCTAGTTCCCATTAGCCTTTCTAGTTCCCTAAAGCCTCTTTAGTTTCCTAAAGCCTCTCTAGTCCCCATGAGCTTCTCAAGTTCCTTTAGGCCTCTTTAGTAGGTTCCCATAAGCCTTTCTAGTTCACAAAAGCCTCTCTAGTTCCCTTAAGCCACTCTAGTTCCTTTAGGGCTCTGTAGTTCCTTTAGGGCTTTCTAGTTCCCTAAAGCCTCTTTAGTTCCCTAAAGCCTCTTTAATAGGTTCCTTAAAGCCTCTCTAGCTCCCTTAAGGATCTCTAGTTCCTGTGAGCCTCTCTAGTTCCCTTAAGCCTTTCTAGTTCCTTTATGCCTCTCTAGTTCCTTTAGGCTTCTCTAATTCCCTTAAGCCTCTCTAATAGGTTCCCTAAAGCCTCTCTAGTTCCCTATAGCCTTTTTTAGTCCCCTTAAGCCTCTCTAGTACCCTTAAGCCTTTTTCTAGTTCCTTTAAGCCTCTTTAGTTCCCTTAAGCCTCTCTAGTTCCCATAAGCCTCTTTAGTTCCCTAAAGCCTCTCTAGCTCCTTTAGGCCTCTTTAATAGGTTCCCTAAAGGCTCTTTAATAGGTTCCCCAAAGCCTATCTATCTCCTTTAAGCCTCTTTAATAGGTTCCCCAAAGCCTCCCTAGCTCCTTTAGGCCTCTTTAATAGGTTCCTTAAAGCCTCTCTAGTTCCTTAAAGCCTCCCTAGTTCCCTTAAACCTCTGTAGTTCCCTTAAGACTCCCAAGTTCCTTAAAGCCTCCCATGTTCCCTTAAGCCTCTTTAATAGGTTCCTTAAAACCTCTATGGTTCCCTTAAGCCTCTTTAATAGGTTCCTTAAAGCCTCCTTAAATTCCCTTAAGCTTTAGGTTCCTTAAAGCCTCTCTAGCTCCCTTTAAGCCTCTCTAGCTCCTTTAGGCCTCTTTAATAGGTTCCTTAAAGCCTCCCTAGTTCCCTTAGGAACAAGGGAGGATGAAACTGCGGACCGACGCTTTGCCCCCCCCACCCCCCTCCCTCCTCCCAAGCAGGAGTATGGGCATCACAAGGACAAATTCCATCCTGCCTGTGGATGTTGACTCCAGCTTGCTTACACTTACACACACATAACTACAGACTTCATGCATTCCTTGGACTCACTGCCTCGCTGTTACCTTTCCCCTTCCCTCCAACCCCCCATCCCTCCCTCCCTATGTGTCCTTGTTGTTGTGATTTGACGGTATCTGTGCTTTAGTGTACTGAGGTGTTTTTTCTAAAATCACTGTTACGTCCCCTGTAGGGGGCGTGGCACTGGGCCTTTTTTTCCCCTCTTCCCGCAACCGCTTTCCCAATGTATTCTTTTGTTCTGAAGAAAAATTGGTGCGCCCTCCTGTGTGGCTGCCCTCAGTCTTCCCGAACTGGTGTGTCTATGTGTTTTGTTTGTTTGATCTTGGTACGGGCTGTACTGGAAGTCAATTTCTCCCTGGAGATCAATAAAGTATATTCATATTCATATTAAGCCTCTTTAATAGGTTCCTTAAAGCCTCCTTAAGTTCCTTTAAGCTTTAGGTTCCTTAAAGCCTCCCAGGTTCCCTTAAGAACCCACCTCTGTGTTGGTGTAGTACGTGTTCCAGGACGAGCGCAGCGACTCCTGGCCGCCGATGTCCCACATGAGGAAGTGCGTGTTGTTGACCACGATCTCCTCCACGTTGCTGCCGATGGTGGGGGAGGTGTGCACCACCTCGTTCATCGAGCTGAAACACACAAAAAACGCACAACCTCACAAAACGCACACATACGCTTTTTAAGCTTCGGACAGAAAAGCGGGAGTCGACGGTGGGACGAAGTGGATTTGTGGTGTAAATGATATTCTAAATTGTTTTATACAAAGAAATGTTTTTTTTTTTATGTTTGAAATTGTGAAATATATTTGTGTTTATGGAGACTTCCACTCATTAAGCCCCTTGAGGGTTTTTCTTTAATGAAACACAATACTGTTATAAATAAAATAAATAAATAAAATAAATAAAATAAATAAAATAAATAAAATAAATAAAATAAATAAAATAAATCAATAAAAAAAATGAAATAAATAAAAATAAAATAAAAAAATACACAAAAAAAAAATAAATAAATAAATAAATAAATAAAATAAATAAATAAATAAATAAGAAGACGACTGGAGGAGGGGACTTACAACTGGTAAAGAATTGTAGTCTTGCCTGCATTGTCCAGACCCACAATGATGACTTTGTGCTCTGAAAAGCGAAGAAAGACAGAGAATTCACACACTGATTACTGAGAGTCCACATTTGAGCTGGAACCGGAGTTGACAAACACACACACACACATATATATATATATATAATATGGATGTCCTGATCCAGCTTTTTTCCCTTCCGAACCCGATCCCGGCCTATCAGAGCATGTGTTAAAGTCTAAAGTTATTTATCTACTTACTTAGTTGTCAGACTCATGTTGAACAGGGATTTACTCTGATAACAACTTAATGGTTAGGACACAGACCTGTGGGTTAGCAGATGCTAATGCTAATGCTCGTGTGGGATCGGAATAAAAAAAAAAATAAAAAAAAAGGATCTCGCATTTTTTTGCAAATATCGGCGGCCGATCTGATTCAGATATTGGATATATATATATATATATATACACATATACACACACACAGATACTTATACAGCCATATTCTATTTACACAGGTTTTTAAGAACGTTCAAGAACCTAATATTGAACTTACCACACCTCTAACTAACAGACAGAACACCTCTGACTAAAATGATGGATTTACACAGTTATCGATTAGCTTTACCATTCCGGCTGCCTAAAATAACTAATCAAATTGAATTTTTTTTCTCCATTTATTACACAGAAATCCCACTTTTTTTCATTCTTTATTTGATAATGTAAATCCCTAACCTAAGGAACCCTTGTCAGTTTATTATTTCTGCTCAACCCAGCGAAGTGATTAAGGAACAGGTGGAAAAAGGGAACAAAAAATTGAGAGAAGGGCTCTTTGATGGAGAGTAAACAGTAACCTGTTGCACGTGGCTGAAGCCAAACCTGTGCTCAAACCTCAGACTCCTGTTGGGCTCAGTTTGCTCCTCTGAGACGCTGATAAAGGAGCAATAAAGGGATTCTGATCCCGGCCCGACCTCTGACTCTGCACCTTGGACTCGGAGTTGTGGGTGCAAACGCTCCATACGTGTACGGAAAAAACGAGTTCAGGTCAACACGTCAACCGCCAAAAGACAAACAAAGCTGGAGAGACATCCCTAATTTGAAATGAGAAAAGCTGAAAACGTCCAGAAGAGAGAAACTGAAACCTGCTGCAAACAGATTTGCTCAAGATCAGAGTGAGGGCTTTATGCAAAAACCTCTTCTGCCTACAGCACTAATTTAACTTACGCAGGAAGTGTAGGAGTTTTTCATTATATATATATTCAGGAACAATGAAGTGTTGTGTGAAGACATGCTTACAGCATTGTCTTAGAAAATGCTAAGGGAGGAAGCCGGAAAAAGGAGTTGTAACCAACATAAAGGCTGAAATAAAAAAAGGCTTTTCTCCGGCTGTGGCTTAAGCTAACAGTCTTATTGTTCATTATCACATTTTCCTGGTCAAATTTTCCCGTTTTAAGGCTAAACCTTTGGTGTGTATGTACTTATGTACATATGAATTCCCCTTTCTTTGCATGTAACCCCTTCCATCCAAAGCTAAATGATGTCACCGTTCAGGATCCAATCAGAGCTGCAGACTCAGAAAATGATGAAACAGATAAACTCCAACAAAATGCTCCTGCTACATTTAAAGACTCCAGTTAAAGTCCACCGGGAAAACAGTTAGCCCAGAACAAGTCTGACACCCAGAAAGACACATAGAAAAAAAAAAAAAAAAAAATATATATATATATATAAATAAATCTAAATAAATAAGCTAAGTTAGTTTAAAGTTCACATAGTGAAAGTTAGAGTAAGTTAGGGTTGGTCCTGTATCTCAGTCTCCACCTCTACCTCCACAAAGTGCCAATAAAAACACTTTTTATTGATGATTTCTTTATCATTATTTCTCCTTACATCTTTATTATATAATGCAATACTAATTTATTGCTATGTGTGATTATCTACAGTATTTATTAAGGAGTTATCGTAGATTTTTGGGCTGTGGAACGAATTATACTAAATATTCTTGCAAAAAGGTTCAGCAAAACATCCGAAACAGACTCAAATTGTAGAGAATGGAGAATGAAATGAGCAAAATGTCAAACAAAAGATTTTGTCTGAGAAAATGCAAAGGGAGGAAGCCGGAAAAAGGAGTTGTAACCAACAATAAGGCGAAAACAGGTGCAGACTCAGCTGTAAATGCGGGCTGAGGAGTAACCGTCAACAGCCTGAAATGTGGGCCGTACAGCTGTACGTTAACGTCCCAAAGGAGTTCCCAACTTTGTTTTCTTGAACCCATTTCAACCCACCATAAACAGGACGAATATCGGTGAAACTGTAAAGAGAAACGAGTCTTTCCAACCCATCGGGGAGGAGCGAGTTTTTAAAATTTAAACTCATCTCACAAAGACTGCTGATCCAGAGTTTGTCTCATTTGACCGGGGAGTAAAAACCTGAGATCTGGAAATGTGTCCGGGGCTAGAACCGGGTTATAAAGCCTCCAGGAACATCTTAGGAGGAAGAAGCACACGGGACAAAGTTCAAAGGTGATCAAACCGCTGTAAAAATGTAAAAACGTTTGCCTGGGAGTCACTAAACATGAAGTAACATTAAACTTTGCAGAAATGCACAGCTGAAGTAGTCTTTAGGGGCTCCATGTGGTCTCATAGAGACGTTTCAACAGGTCAAAGGTCATCTGGAATTTGTACATTTCAGAGATAAAATGATGAGATTCCAGAGGCAGAGCAAAGGCTGAAGATTGGCCAGTGATCCGTGCAGCTGAGGAGGAAGGAGGGAGGGCTCAGATCATCTGTCCCCGGGCCTGGACTCGAGTTACAGACCTGTGGAAACTACCTGAGTCCTGGATCTGGATCTGGATCTGTTACCTGCTGCACAAAACCAGATCCCCATGAATAATCCAACACAAAGTTCACCCGCAAACGGCGGCCTGAGGGGGTCCCCCCGTGCTCCTCTGATGTGTAACCTCAAAAACCAAAGCTTTTATGTAACATTACCACCAGGGAACCACAGACACCATATCATAACAAAACCCCTGGAAGCTGTTTCCGGGGACCAGAGCTAAGGGCCTCCTCCGGCCATTGGCCACCGGCTAGCAGCTAATTTGGGTGTCACCGACTCTTTCCGCGAGAAACCCCGGCGGCGACTGCCTTACCTTGGTGATTAAAAAGCCTCCACAGCTTCGTAAACAGTATCCCCATGACTGACGCTGACGTTTTTACGGTGCCAGCTCGTGAGAATCCGTGGTGGGCGAGCTAGCTAGCTAGCTAGCTAGCGTTAAATACAACTTCCAACCCGGCTAGCCGGCTTGCTAACTACGCCGACAAACCGCTGTCAAGACGTAAAACCGTCATTCTAGGGTAAATTGACATCTGCTGCGTCTGCCCCAGAGGTTTCAAGCCTAAATGTGACGCCTGGAAATGTTGCCAGGGACAAAACGAGAGCGCTAGCCAGCGCTGCTAGTTGGCTGATGTCAGCTGGCTGTTGTGGTGCGCGGTGGTGTCAGCGGTGCGCATGCGCACGAACACTGTCGACGGAAAAGGGGCAACATAATACAAAATAATATCAAATATAACGTAAAACGCTATTTATAATATATTATAATATAATATAGAATAGAATATATTCTAATATATTATATATAGTGTTAGATTGTGTATTAGAATACAATATATTCTAATATATGAGAAGAAAAAAAAAGAAAAAAAAATTGTTTCAATTTTGGAAATGTAAAGTTTTCACAGTTTATCCCAAAAACACGTATTTCTGTAGAACGGCATCAGAGTTGTTTATTTCAATACATTTGTAAATAACAGTGCACAAAACCTATTGATGCATCATTTTCTCACAGGCTTAATTCAATATCTTTAGATTGGTGCTTCAAGTCCACTGCATCCAAACAACAAGAACTACTGTATATAGCAGACAGGAACAGAAGTTTCTTTGTAGATATTCCTCCTCTAGAGCCACTGCACACTGAGACCTCTACTGCCCATGGAGTTAAAACAACAGTATAACAAATTACAAGATACAATATTATGTCATTTAGAGGTAATATTTCAGCAATCCTGTACGATCTGGCAGCATATATGGATGAAAAATACAGGAAATCTGCTCTACGTTTGCATGAATGGGACCTAAAAAAGGCAGAACAGTACATCCTAAGTGCTTTCAGACAGCTTCCCATTGATCAATAGTTTACATTGATATTCAAATCAAAATGATTAGAAAACTATCACTGTAAGTGTGGAGGAGGGGCTTGATCAGTAGCTAATCTATGACACTGTTACAGCATTGTGTGATTTGATCAAATCTAACAAAACCTTTCATGGTAAAGGCCATTTATATTTGCTATCTGTGGTGCAAGACTAAGTTAAATAAATGGAATGTAACTTGATTCAGTAAAAGTGGAACTTTACACAAGCTAAGATGTGTTTTTTCTGATTATTTTGAAGGTATTTACATGTGGAAGCCCTCAATATAAATCTCCCTCGAAATTCCCTTTATTTCTATTTTAAATATTGTCCTTGAAGACATAAGTGAATAAATATATGACATGTTAAACAAAAAACACGTGTGCAAGACAGATCTATGTGCTTCTTTCCGGTTTTAAAATCTATTTTTCTGTAACAAATCCTATATTCTTATAAATGTAACACAAAACTCAGAGTCCAACTCCTATCAGATGAAGATGAACATAAAAGCTACACTTCCAGGTCTAAATGACCTCTCATTCCTGAGGTTTGGAGCTTTGAAATACATAAAAAATCTGCCTGACTAGAGATTTAGTTTGGGACAAAAACGCGATTTGGAGAAGACAAAGAATGGGGCGACTGCACGAACTGCAAAAGTTTGGAGCTGTGGGGTTTCTTCGCTCCACAAAACCTCTGGAGCTGGAGACTTTTGTCCTTCTGTCAGATCCCCAGTGGGCTCAGAACAAAACCGTCTAACACCAGTTTGAGTCGGACAGGCCCCGATAAATTCAGACCTAGCTACATGCTACAGTAACAGCTGAAACAGTGGGAGGGATCCAGACCCTGATCTCCCTTACAGGCTCTCTCTGGGACATCCTGATACCTGGTTCGGCTTTGAAACCACATATTCTCCCGTCTTGTGCTGCTTCAACCAATGAGAAACAGGGGATGCTCTCTTAGGTCAGAGCCTCCGATCGGCCTGAACCGAAGCCGAAACCGGAAACGAGGCTCTACACGGACACGGGAGGCTGTTACAGTTCAAATACAGTGGGGGAAATAAGTATTTGACCCCTTGCTGATTTTGCAGGTTTGCCCACTTACAAAGAATGCAACGATCTATAACTTTAACTCATTGGCTGCCAAAGATGTCTATAGACGTCTTTTATGTTTTTCAACGAGAGTGGCTGGGGGACGATCTGCTAAAGCTTGTCCGTAAATATCAGGCTTCTAGACAGAGTATGTAGTAACAAATTGACCCTCTAGGGGGCAGTGCCACTTTTGATGGGAGATGAGCATAGACTGTAGGCAAATAAGAAAAAGGTAACGGTTCGCTATGAGAGAACATGTCGCCGGTGAGACGCAAGTCCAGGAAGAACGGAATAAGGTAGAAACAAAAACATTTTTCCTGATGAAAGAAGAGAGTCTACTCTTTCTTTTGGTGTGTTTGGTGTTTACATAGTCATAGCACAAACTATTCTGTGGCTCTTGAAAAATCCTTCAAAATGCTCAAAAAACTCTGGCAGTATGGGACTCTCTGTTCTGAAAATGGCTGGCAGTCAATGAGTTAATCATATGTACATTCTAACAGTGAAAGACAGAATACCAAATAAAATTCCAGAAAATCACATCATATGAATTGACAACCATCTGATGAGGAAAAATAGGCATTCTTTGTAAGTGGGCAAACCTGCAAAATCAGCAAGGGGTCAAATACTTATTTCCCCCACTGTAAGAGTGGCGGTTTTGTCGGTTTTATCGTGTTTGAGCTGTTTTCCCGGTGGATTTCCGGAGGAGGAACCGGCCTAAAGCCGGTGCCTGGAGTCCTGGCTGTAGCCCCCGGGGGAGCCCCGGTTCCGGTGGGGCTTGTAGGAGTCCTGGTAGGGGTCCTGGTAGGGGTCCTGGTAGGGGTCCTGGTAGGGGTCCTGGTAGTCCTCCTCCACCAGAGGGGAGTGCTCCCGGCTCTGCTGGGATCCGGAGGACAGGCGGTTGCGGTTCTTCCGGGCCCGTTCGTTGTGGTGGTTCTCGTCCACGGGCATCAGGCTCCGGCGCTCCACCGGCGAGTGCTCCGCCGTGTTGTTGCTGTTCCGGTTCCTCTGGGCCTGTTTCAGGAGATTCAAGATTCAGGAGATTCAAGAATTTATTGTCATTGGCAAAAAAGGCAACGAAATTGTGTTTGGGGTACAATACTTAGTAGCAGCAAGTTCCAAGTAAAGTGCAGCAAAGATTATTAAGTGCCATAATGCTTGCCCCCCCAACACACACACACACACACACACACACACACACGATAAATAAATACACAGCTGTTTGAGACAGGAAAGACTTATATTATCTATTTTTAAAAAAAGCTAGACACACAATTTACAGAGTTTAAGCAGAAACCATCCGTCAGTGTGTGTAAACAGAGATCAGATTGACGGAGGAAAGACTTTAGATTTAGATATATTATCTACAGAGTTAACCCTTTAAAGCCTGACCCAAGAACAAAACAAAACAGAAAATTACTTTTTTTTTGGTTTGAATTCCTTATTTGGCCTTTTAACAAAATATGTAAAAAGAAAAAACAGAAATAAATTGTTATTATTAATAATTTATAATTTTATAATTTATTTCTCCTTACATAACTATTGTATAATGCTATACTATTTTATTGCTATGTGTAATTATCGACAGTATTTATTAAGGAGTTATCGTAGGTTTTTGGGCTGTGGAACGAATCATACTTAATATCGTTATGGGAATATGTGTACCAACATACGAATATTTTAACATACATAGATGGATATTTCATTTAATTTTTCATTTAATTTATTTTGAAACATGATATGATTTAACAATGTTTACATTGAATGCTTCACAAACATGCATCATGTTTCAAAAAGGAGTAGGATGAAGCATAAGCTTATTAAGCGCTACCCCTCATACTAACCACTATACTGACTCCCACCCCCGTGTTTTACCCTGTTAAAACCCAGGAGTTAGCTTTTCCCCGAGGTGGCGGGGTACCTGGATGGCGGCGGGATACGGGGAGAGGGCCGTGGAGCCCAGATTGCGACCCAGGAGGGGGTTGAGCGGCGTGCTGAGGGACGTGTGCGTCGCACGCCAGTACGCCTCCAGGTACTCGGCCAGGTGTTCGCAGGCATCCTCCAGCTGGTTCTCATCCAGAATGATGTCAAACATCTCCTGAGGGGGGCGAGACGGAGACGGAGAAAACCAATTCAACTGTGTAACATGAAACAATTATTTCTACTTTAATCCGTTTAGTTCTGAATTTATTAATAAAATGTGTATTTTTGGATGGATAGCACTTTTAGACGGAGGGGAAAGTGAGCAGCTGCAGGCTTTCAATAGGCTCCGCCTCTGCTGGCCTGAGAAAATATCTGAATCACAGACTGATGTTAATTATATTTTGTCCATGAATACTTATTAAATATTTCCAAATGGTCTGTCCGCTCCCTTTCAAAGCTTTTCCCCTGGTTGCGCTGCTTCCAGACGTGTATTTTCATATTAAAGCATTTAACCAATCACATTTCAGCCATCATTTGTTACTAGGCAGGGTCAAAGTGAAAAAATAAAAAAATGAAAATAAAAAAAATAAAAAAAGATGTCTGTCAGGAGGCCATCACAATCTTTTTGCGGGCCCTTTAACAGAAAATAATAATAAATAATAAATAAATAATCATAATAAATATCGATTAAACTGTTGCTTTAACCAATCAGATTTTAAATTGGTGACAACAGGGCCCTCTAGCCCTCTGCCCTCTGATTGGATAGTCAGATAGCGTACCGGCTAAAGCTAGCAAACAAACCGAAATACAGTTGTGTTGTGTTGTGTTGTAATAGTTATTTAATCTCCCCACAATGGGTGAAGGAAGAGAAGAAATCGATTTGGAGGCAGATTTACTGTCAAGCCCATTTTTAAGACGGACTTTTCAAGAAAAGTGAGTGAGTAAAATTTTGCTTTTTTCCTAATTAATATTGCGAGTTTAGGAGGATATTATTGATGTTTTTTTGGGGGGGCTCACAGCTGTAGATGCAGTAGTAACAGACTTGTGCACCCCTGATCTTTATACTGTATTTCTACATAATAAAGTCATTTTTATAACCATAAAATAGTTATTCACTGGTGGAAGTGAAGGTGCGGATGGGAGGTTTTCTTACGGACGGACACTGGGAGAGTTTCTCTGCTGCCACGAGCTGCACGTTCAGGTGTTTGCTCTGAGACTTCCCTCTTGATTTGATTAGCCTCTGCAGGACCTGTGGAGCAAAGTGTTAGTTCGATTCTTTAGTTGGAAACCAGAGTAGATCAAACTTATAAAAATAACATTTATTGGGTCACAGTTAAGTATATCAGCTGGGCTCTAACAGACAAAAACCTCTCTCTGGGTCTCAGTGGGCAAAGAGACCTGAGATCTGGGTGTGATGGGTATTTGTCTCCTGAGTGCTTATTGGCCAGTTACTTACTAACCCTAACCCTATCCAATCCAATCCAATCCAATCCACTTTATTTGTATAGCACGATTTCAACAAACACAAGGTTTCCAAAGTGCTGCACAAAAAGATATACAGAATAAATAGATAACACAATGGAAGTACGGCAAGAAAAGATGAGGTACAAAGTAAAAAATAAAAGTAAAAATATGCATGTGTATAACCCTGACATGAACAGGCCAGGTCCTAATTAATGCAGATAACATTGGAATGTGATAACAAAGTTTGTTTTTGTGTGTTGACCTAAAGGTGGATCTAATGCAACAGAGAGAAAAAAAGAAAATCTGTGTTTACAGCCAGAGAATTGAACACAAAAATATAGTTCTAAAAGGAATAAGACAATCAGTCATTTACATAAATTATGTTTAGTTTAGTTTAGTTTTATTAGGATCCCCATTAGCTGCCAAATGAATTGCCATTAGTCTTCCTGGGGTCCTCACATGAAGAAATTATATTACATTATAAACAGATCATAAAAAATAAAAATAAAAATCATAGTACGAAATAATAAAAACATAAACAAGAGTAGAACTATACAACATATATACACAGGTCAATGTATGTGATAGCATACAATGCTAAAGTGAGTAATTATAGCCAAATTCTAACAAAAGGAAAAGAAAAAAAAACTTTTTATCAAGCTAGTTTAATGTTTCAAACCAATATCGACCCTTGGGTTGTTTTTACAGTCTTGTTTGTTTTACAGACCTTGGGTGAGGAAACCTTCACGTGGACGATGATGGGGGCTAAGGAGGTCTTGATTAGCTGGGCCGGGTGGTTGATTGTGTCTGCGTCCAAAACTACCAGCTGGAGAGACCTGGCCAGCTCGAAGATCCTCTCTATCTCGCTCTGGACCTCGGCTGGTGGGAAAACAGGGACACAAGAGAGAGAGGGATGAGAGGAAGCGGCACATCATTGAGCGGGACGGTTCCTGTAGTTTTACCGAGGCTGGAGCGGGTGTTGGATCTCTCAATGATGGCCCTCTTACTGGGGTTGTTGAGTACTGACCTCTTGGCCAATGAGATGTCGGCCGTTACCCGGGTGATGGAGATCCTGTAATAAGGGAACAACAGGTCAGGCGGAGCAATGTGCGGGCAACTGTGAGATAGAAGGAGCTGCTCACCGCCCGTCAAATCTGTGTTTCAGGAAGTCAAAAAGCGCCTTTTGCATCATGTCCGTCACCTGGAATACACAAGAGTTAGTTTAGAGCCAAACCAAACCACCAATCAGCTTCCATCCATCCATTAAGGTAACCGATTATTCCCTAATGGGGTCCGGAGGGGGCGGAGCCTATCCCAGTAGCCAATGTGGAGAGGCGGGGTCACCCTGGACGGTCCCCAGTCCATCACAGGGACACACAGAGACACACAAGGACCAACAACCACACTCACTCACACTAAGGGCAGTTTGGAGTCCAACAACCTAACATGCAGGTTTTTGGAGGGTGGGAGGAAGCCGGAGAACCCGGAGAGAACCCACAGACACAGGAGAACATGCAGAACCACCCAGAAAGGTCCTGGTTCCCCCGGGACTCTAACCCAGAACCCTCTGGTCCTAGTTCCCCCGGGGACTCCAACCCAGAACCCTCTGGTCCTGGTTCCCCCGGGGACTCTAACCCAGAACCCTCTGGTCCTAGTTCCCCCGGGGACTCCAACCCAGAACCCTCTGGTTCCTGGTTCGTAGCAGAATCTGAAGCCGAGGAACTGAACTGACCGGTGGGAAACGAAAAGTTCCACAGTTGGAACTGCTTCTGAAGAAAAAGGAGTTCCCAGCATCTAAAGTTCGTCTCCTAATTTGGAGATTTCGTTATGATGGAGGAGAGAGGAGAGTTTTCAAGTGGCCTCAAAGTGTGTTTCCCTATTTCAGAGGTCCATCCGTCAGGACTGAGGCGCTCATATTCCGACCGGGGGCCTCCGATTAAAAACTGTTCACAAGGATTATTGGGACACGTCTTTGAAACTAAGCCTTTTGATTCTTAGTATCTGAGGAAATTACAAATGTGCAACAAAAAACTCATTCATGAGGTGAAAGTTCAGCGTTTTATTTGGTCATATCTTGGTCTTCTTACTGCTTTCACCAGATCTGGATTAGTGGTCAGAGGTTGGAGGTATTTCTTCTTAATTTACTAAATTTTTAAAATATTTGAAGTCTGTTCTTTGGTTTTCTCGGCTATATATAATTATATATGGACATATGTACGTATAAATGTAATAATTCTCAGAGAATTATAATAATAATTAACCCTAACTTTACATATTAAAAATATTTAGGAAATTAAGAAGAAATTAAGAAATTAAGAATCTCTGAGTCACCAATTAAATAATAGTTTCCTGTAGTGTCTTTAATTTTCCTTAAAAACATCCATAACCAGCTGGTTTGATGTATTTCACTCAATGTAAAATATTTTATTTGTCTGACACACTTTTCTCTCCGATTTCCTGAAAATAAAAGGCCGATTGAGAACCCACTTTTGCAGCGGCTTTAGCAGAAACGCTCCTTTTTTTGCTGCTTAGAGGCGTAGTTTCATTTTACATCGGGACTTATTAGAAAAATGCCCCTCACACCTTTGTTAGTGATGGATTAGCTCTGCTTAAACATCGAATCTGAACACGGGCTCCAGCTCTGTATCAGCTTTCAGATGATCACAATAGCTCTAAAAACACAGCTTATAGTTCATTTAAATGAGCAAACAGACTGGTTTGGTTGCAGGATTTGAGTTCTGGTCGCGTCCTGCTTTTTTTAAAAGAGAAATCTACCCATTTAGTTTGTTTTTTGCTGAGTTTTAATGACTTTTCTTTGCTGCACTTGGTCTTCGTTAGTCATTATTCCGACCTGTTTTACACTCCCAGCCTTGTTGGATGGTGTACTGGTAATTTCTCCACGGACTCTCGGTTTGTTTTGTCAGCGCGCTTTGTTTAACTCGGAGCTTTTGGAGATTATCTCCAGTCCTCGCCTCCTCCTGTGGGTCAGCTTCCAGTCTGCAAACAAACGCAGGTGCCAGAAAAAACCCGTTTCCCCGTCTCCTCCAGAGTCCTCGCTTCAGTTATTCCGTGTTTCTAATTTCAAACCTGCTCCCTTTTTTTTTTTTTCTTCTTTCTTTTCTCAGACTGACGCGGTTTACCCAGAAGGTTGTTGCCACGGCAACGCCGGAACGGGAGGCGAGGACCGCGGTTCCATGACAACCGACTCCAGGGCTCCCGTCAACTCCTCGGCCTCCTTTTTTATCGTTTAACGCTGCGTCTGAGCCGATCCAGAAGATCCAGATAAAGGTTTCTGGACCTCAGCTAGCTTTTTATCACCTGGCACAGAGAGCTTTCAACTATTTATCCGCTT